GTTCCACTTCCACACGCGCACACTCGCACGTGCGACTCCATTTCCTCATTTTCGCTCTCTTATTCTGCAGCGAACGATGGCGCCACGATTCTCGAGCAGATGGACGTGGACAACCAAATCGCGAAGCTGATGGTGGAGCTTTCGAGGAGTCAGGACTACGAAATCGGCGACGGCACCACCGGCGTCGTCGTCCTCGCCGGCGCGCTTCTCGAGAAGGCGGAGCGCCTCCTCGAGCGCGGAATTCACCCCATCAGGATCGCCGAGGGTTACGAAATGGCGTCGAGGATCGCCGTCGAACACCTCGAGCGCGTCGCCAACAAGTTCGAGTTTGATGACACCAATTTGGAGCCTCTCATTCAAACTTGCATGACCACCCTCTCCTCAAAGATGTAACTACTCTGATTAATTAATTAATTAATTGCTCGTTGCCCATTACTTGCCTAGTTAACTTGTAACTGCATTTTTTTTTGTTGCTTATGATTTGTTTTTTAATGTTGTAGTGTGAATCGGTGCAAGCGTAGCTTGGCTGAGATCGCTGTGAAGGCGGTTCTCGCTGTTGCTGATCTGGAGAGGAAGGATGTTAATTTGGATCTGATTAAAGTGGAAGGGAAAGTTGGTGGGAAGTTGGAGGATACTGAGTTGATTTATGGCATTGTTGTTGATAAGGATATGAGTCATCCCCAGATGCCTAAGCAGATTGAGGATGCTAAAATTGCTATCCTCACTTGCCCCTTTGAGCCTCCCAAGCCAAAGACTAAGCATAAGGTTGATATCGATACGGTGGAGAAGTTTCAGACGTTGAGGTTGCAGGAACAGAAGTATTTTGATGACATGGTTCAAAAGTGCAAGGTGGGATGGATTTCGTTTAGCTTATTTTAATCTTCTAATTGAAATGCATGTTCAGTTTCTTTACTTTAGCGTGGTGTATAAACCTTTTTGGATTTAAGTTCAAATTAGCCTGCTTGTGACCCGCTAGGCACCCTTTTTGTCTTGCTAGAAATTAGAATGTGTTTGGGTTTATTGGAAGTGACATTGATTTGCAGGATGTGGGTGCAACGCTGGTCATTTGCCAATGGGGTTTTGACGACGAAGCAAATCATCTCCTAATGCACAGGAACTTGCCAGCCGTCAGATGGGTTGGTGGTGTAGAGTTGGAATTGATAGCTATAGCAACAGGTGTGTTTTAATTAAACTATGTACGCTTGGAAAGTTTTTATATTTTCTGTGTAACTGTATATTATGTGGCTTAATTGGCTCTGTATACATTCTTCTATGTCTATTGACAGAGCAATGATCGATTTGTGAATACAGGTGGAAGAATTGTGCCTAGGTTCCAAGAGTTATCTACAGAAAAGTTGGGAAAGGTATAGTTTTGCTCTTGATTTTCTTTTGGGGGTTTTACGAGACATGCATTTCTTTTGCAGTTTGTTGTCATTTTTAAATCACATGCAATTGTGGGGTTTAGTATTTTAAAACATGTAGCAGGGGTAGCATTCTTCTTCCTGTATACTTTGTTGGGGGTGGCATGTTGTGCACAAAAGATTCTCATAATTCTTTTGTTTGTAAATTTGACAGCAAGAAAAGCATCACTAATTTGTGATCTATTTTTTTAGGCTGGTATGGTTCGAGAAAAGTCATTTGGTACAACAAAAGACCGAATGCTATACATTGAACATTGTGCAAACTCAAGGGCTGTAACAATATTCATTCGAGGAGGTAAAGCCATTCTGCTTGATTCCTTCATTTAACTGGTTTTCTTTGAATTTCTTGTAGTTAATTACCTTCTTGGAGGAAGATAATTTTCTATACTTACTGTTGATCAATATTGTATTTATTTCTTTATTTCTTTATTGCTTTGGAGTGAGAATTATGAACCTTTAGGTTATGTTTAGATTGATGGTAAGAAGTGGGAGGTAATGGATTAAAGTGAAATGGAATATAATAGAATAAAATCTGCATTCCATTGTTGGGATATATTATGGTGGAACGGAATAGAATTTTATTCCTGTGCTGGATACTGAATGGAGAACAAATAATTATTTTTTATTGATATATTACCCTTATTTTAAAATACTAAAATGTTGTTTTTAATCGTCATTTGTTTTATTTATCTATAATCCCCACTCCCTGATAAAATAATTTCCTTTTCCTTGTTTCCTATTTAATATCTCCCTTTTGGATAGTTGTCTGTGGTTATTTTATTTATTTATTTATTTTTATCATTCACAATTGGTTTGTTATTTCGATAACATGCTAGGCTGTTATATTTTTTAAGAAAAAATGGGTAGTTTAAAAGAACTCCACAGAATTGTAAATGTCCCTAACTAACACCCATAAACCATAGTGGTAATGAGACACCATTTCAATCTGACGTTTCACCAAACACCTTCCTAACATTTTCAAAACCACCCCAAAACCCTGGAATAATTGTCTAAAAGAGCTGTTTGCACAGCACAATTGGGTATTGCTTGAAACCAGATTTCAAGTTCTGCGCATGCACCAAATCTGTGGCACTTGATTTCATGCACCCTTTCGGCATGTAAGGGTATATGAAGAGGTTTGGTTGTGTGGTTGGGATGTGAAGCATGTGGCATTACTGCAGTAGAGGGTGAAGGTGGAAAGGTAGGTGATAGGATGAAAGCAAAGGCGGTGGTCATGGGGACACAGTATAATCTAGATGTTGGGAGAGTGGATGTGACGTAGTGTGCTGAAGTAGGCTTGGAGTTGCTGGAGATGGTTCAGGTGATTACTATTGCTCAATGACGTTACAGTGATATCATAATTAAAAAGAACAAATCAATTGTGTGCTCTATGCCATACTCTCGAATTTGGGGGTAAGAAACTGATGGGAACACCGAACAGATGGAATAGGTTCCATCACTTACTATTCTATACTGTTGAAGAGAAGGAAAGAGAGGCATGTGAGTAAACAGTAAAAAAATGCACTGCAATGTGTGGTGACCCTTCTATTTATATTTTTAAGTAATGTACATAAAAGCATGTCGGTTTTCCCATACACATACAACTAAGTACTAAACCCTTTATTATAATAACATTTGTTTTTCAATCCAAACAATGGATCTCAAATATTGCTTGGTTTGGCTTTGCAGTTATTAAGTTATGTATTTTTTGTGGAGTTTTTGATATTGACTTTGAAGACTGGTAAGTTGTCTAAGCAAACCTTGACAAATTAATAGTAGCTGTCTTGTTTGGCAGGTAACAAAATGATCATAGAGGAGACAAAGCGCAGCCTTCACGATGCATTGTGTGTGGCTAGGAATCTTATTCGCAATAAGTCTATTGTATATGGTGGTGGTTCAGCTGAGATTGCCTGCTCTATAGCTGTGGAGGCAGCTGCTGATAGATACCCTGGAGTAGAACAGGTATGGATATCATTGAACTCACGTGGTATTAATTTTTATTGCTTGTTAGAATAAACAGTTTTTATATCTTAAGCTAATCTAATGATCCCACCTGTTTAAAGTAGCTATTTAAAGTCACCGTTATTCACTGATAGTGCATTGAGGTGATAGTGTGTTATTTACAATGGATCAAATGTAATATCAATGCTTAAACTAACAATTTCTACGTATGCTTATTGATTACTTTTTCTTCGCTTGCAGTATGCTATTAGAGCATTTGGGGATGCTTTGGAGGCCATCCCAATGGCCCTTGCTGAAAATAGTGGCCTCCAACCGATTGAAACATTATCCGCTGTCAAGGCTCAGCAAATAAAGGTAATAAATCGATCGTGATGATTGTTTTGACCATGTTAAACATCTATTACTTGTATATTATGGCGCTGACCTCAAAACTCTGCCTTCAGGATAATAACCCTCACTTTGGCATTGATTGTAATGATGTTGGCACTAATGACATGCGTGAGCAAAATGTCTTTGAAACTTTGATTGGAAAGCAGCAACAGCTCTTGCTCGCTACTCAAGTTGTCAAGATGATTCTGAAAATTGATGATGTCATTTCCCCATCTGAGTACTGATATTTTTAAAATCATGTTTTACATCAAGATGATGAATTGGCGATAGTATTTTGTTCCATTGATTTTGTTGTAGTCAGAGTTGGTATGTTCACTTGGAATGTAAGATTTTGGCACGGTTTGTATCGGAGTTGGGTGACTTTTCTTTTGTTTAATGCAATTGTCATGCTTTTGATATTTAACATCATGGATGAATTATTTTTTATAGGCCTTTTGCTTTTAACCTCTGTTTGTAGGCCGTGGTTGGAAAATTGTGATCTTACTTTTTAGTCCTATTTTGGGCCCTTTTCAAATGGTTGTTTAATTGGTTGTGCAACTGAGCGATTGTAGGCTAGACGAAAGTGTTTAGGGCTTTAGGAAAACCCTTGATTGTCTTGGAGTTATGGACATTGTGTCCATCGGGAACGTGGTTTATTTATTTATTTATATTTTTAAAAGCATGAAAATTATTTGGGATCGAGTAAATTGGTTAATGAAAGTGAAAATCAGTAAACAATGGCATCCGGTTTAAACATTTTTTTAATCTAATTTTGGTGCATTTTGTTTAGGCCATTGATGTGTAATAAATGTAATACGCAATGCATTACTGTAGCCGAGTGTTTCGGCTCCTGACATGAATGTTCGAAGACTATATGGGGGAATTGTAGTGATTGAAATGCGAATGTAACACCTTTTCAAAGTATAATTTCAAAATGTAACATTTTGCTTCATTGACGTAGAATGGCAGCTTTTACATGTTCAACTTTAAACTATAATCACCCGAAGTCTATTAGAGTGTAGGAAGTGGCGATTTGAGCTATGGAATGTGGAGGCTATTGTAGATTCATTAACTGTGTCAGCAACTGTTACTCTAATATTCAATGTTCGATTTCCAGTTCTACAGCACGGTTCTATCCTTCATTGTCCCTTTATGCGACGGAAGGCACAGCTGATATGTATGTAACATTTTCAATAGGAGAATGGAAATTTTTTAATTGGTTTTCTTGACCCAATCAATACTAATAGTCTAGTGGCATAAGTTGCCCTTCCTGCAACTAAGCACTCCTGCCCCTGCTGTCATTGAAGGAACAAGCATAGGTGGTCGTGCTGCCATGCTTGATGCTCTGTCATACCTAGCAGATGCTCCTGCCCCGGAAGGTGTGAAAAATGCTCCATTCAACATTAGATCCCCTTCAGACATCCAATTCCATTTCTTCCACTCTCTCTCTGATGATTTAAAATGTTTGGTCACCTGAAATCACTCAATGATCACAATTTCAATCACTAATACATCATATTTGTATTGTATCTCAGCAATATTTATTATTAACCAGCCACTAAAGACAATGTGTAGTTCTTTTTTCTTCTCTTTTATGTATCTCTGACCTCTTTGTGGTTTTCATCATCTGGAGCAAGAAATCTATTGCCTTGGCTGTAAATAGTTGGGGATGAACTCCCACCTATTGCGTAATGTTGCCAGTGTGTGTATTCATTGTTCACCACATGGAAGTATCCGAACCTGCATCTGCAAATTGTTTCTTTCCAATGAAACGAATAGCACAAGCTAAACAAGGCTTATATGTATTTTGAAAAGAACAACTTACCTAGGCATTCTCCCCCCAAGCCCTTCTCCAAAATGGTTGAAAGCTATTGTGACTTGCATTTTCTTGTCATTTTTAAATGAATCACTGTGGCCCAAGAGCATGACCTTGTTATGGTGTGTCATGTAATTGTTGGAAATGGTAATGGCCGTTGACCCATGAACGACATCAATTAAGCCATCAAAACAATTTGACAAGGAGCAATGGTCCACCCAAACATGGCTTCCACTAAAGATTGTAATCCCATCACCATCCGATCTTGCACTCAGGCTAACTCTGTTAGGAGAGTCCCTCACGTATCCGCTGCCACCCCTTTTGCAGTCATGGATGTGTATGCCATGAATTATGATATTGGTCTTCTTGTGCACTTTAATGCATGGTCCTCCAGCAATGTGGACAGTGGCTCCTCTTCCATCAATGGTTTTGTAAGAGTTCACGAGGAGATCCATGTGTAGCTTGATCACCATGTCATGCTTGAAAATGATCCACAATGGCTCCTCTTGGATAACACCATATCTCAATGTTCCTGCCTTGGGCTTCACAGGGTGATCACTAGGGTCAGTCACCACATATATTTTACCATCCTTCCCTCCAATCGCATGCTTACCAAAACCAATGCCACAATCTGCTAAACGCTTCCTGTTCTTTTCCCAATTGGGGTCACACCTCCAACAATCATCAATTGGGTTCCCCGTTCCACAAGAAAGATACCTCAAGTTTCTCCTTGAACCATTAATGCTCCTACAGTGAAAAGAAGACTCCTTTCAGTATCATGCATGCTTTAACATGCAAGTGCATACATGTGTGTAATGCGAGAAATTATTTGGTAGTTCTGATTTGTACAGTGACATAGAATCAAAAAATGTTATTAATTTTTTTCTCTCAGTAAATTGGGAAACTTAAATGCATATCTGGCCTATTTAATAATTTCCTGTGTAGTCTTATGAGATCTAGATAGTGAGAATGGAAATCCAATTTTCTCCTATGATAGTCGATGTTCCTACGGAAAAAAAAATACAAATGTGCTGAGGTCGCTACCACATGTTTCACCAAAAAAGATATTTGTGGTCACTAACATGTATTTTTTCTACTCCAAGTGCTGCTTTCGACAATTAATTGTGGTCACTATAACATGCTTCATCACAAAAAGCATGAGGAGAATACTCTGTTTTATTCATTAATGGTAGTGCACCATGGTAATATAAAAAGAGAAATTTTTTCGAAATTATATAAATAATATGCACAATCAGTTTAAAATAATTTGAATATGAAATTTAAGATATATAAAAGAATTTAAAAATCACAGCACTACTCTTTCATATAATTGTTACTTTTTAAATACATAATATCTAAGTTTAACACATGCCGGAAATACTATATATCTCTAAATATTTCTTGTCTGCATTTTCTGGCAATGGACTGTACTAAAATAGTACAAACCAACTGGTAATGCAAGATGTAGTGTATGTGAAAAGAAGAAAAATGAATTAAACAGAAGATACAAGATGTCTGTTTTCCAAAAATAAGAGTTTTTGTAGAATAAGACAGTAATTTTATTTCAAGAGAGAACATTTTTGTAGTGCGATGATCCGATGTATAAAAGATTCCACTGCAAGACTGTAACATATTCCGCAAACAAAGTACTGCATAACATACTTTTGGACTTCCTGGACCACTAATTCAGGGTCTTGAACTGGAGAAGCATAGATCACAGATGGGGCCAGAAGCAAGAACAGGAACATAAATGTGAATGAAAATGCCATAATATCTAGAACTACCTATGGAGGTAAGAATAACAGAAACATTTATAAGGACTAAGGAGGGAAATTATGTAGTTATGACTTGCTCTATATACAAGTGATAGATGATAGAAGTTGAGCTTATATATATATAAGCAGTAATTAAACTAAGAGAGGAAATGATTCTGAATTCCTGATTCAATAAGAAAAGCTTGTTTAATTTCCGGAATTTGTGTTGTGGATTCTGAATGTTGCAAAATTATTTTATAATTTGTACGCTAAATGATCTTTTATGATATTCATGTCACAATGCTCTTATTTGCTGCACGTCCATGAAAGCGTAAATAACGGAATTTATTCTCGTTTACTTGAATGTTTAGTGGTTTTTGGGAGTTATAAATATCTATTGTTTATTGGAAAAAAACACAGAAAGATATTTAATAGTTAATACAGTACAGCTTACACTGAGAAGTGAAGACCAGTGAGTAGAAGCGTTCTTTTTTTCTTCTAAGAATAACACATTGCATGTTTCAACTCAAATTTCTGTATACTCTTCTTATTTCATTTAGTCATCGTTGAATATTAATTTGTTATTGATCGTGTTATATTATTAATTGATAAATAATAATATACATGGTGTTAATTTTAAGGATCATCTAGACCATATTTTTAATAAGCAAGATTTTTTTTTTCAGGAGTCAAGACTATGCACCACATTTGTACCCGTCATATAATTTGATCTTAAAAACGTAAATTTAAAAAGTAACTCTACTAGAAAATTACACTGCCAAGAAAAAAGGTTACATCACACTGAAATTTGAGATATGAATTACAACTGAAGCTGACAGCATCAGAATCTGGCTCTTTCTTTGTCTATCATCCATCAATTATGCTGCATGTTGCATTGGTCGTTAAATGAGGTACAGTTTTGTTTTTTTTGTTGATGATTGATCTATTTCACCATCCTATCATTTTATTTTGATGAATAGTAATATTGGTCCAAGAAAAGTTACATGTTGCTTTCGTGTCAGATGCCTCCGGCTAAACAAACAATTGAACTAATTCGTTGTGACCTTCGTTCTTAGTGAAACGTCCCTATATGCATTTCGTCTTCAACTCATGAGTGAATGAATGTATGTATGAGAATTCCTAGTAATCCTCGTTTGTGAGATATTGCTCTGCATGATTCTGAGTCCCATAGCTGTCTTGTTTGTTGAAGAGCAAACAATTATTGGCTAAAATAGAATTTTGTTTTGTTATTTTTATTTTCTGTTTCAATTTGGTGTCCTAATTTTTTTTTTATTTTTTTATTTTAATCTCCTAAACTTTGTTGGATCAAATCGACCCTTTTGTTCGATTTATCACGCTAATTAAATTAATTTAGTGATACATAACAAGTTTGTGAAGATGTTATATCAGTCAAAATTAATGTTGTTAGTAAAATTTTTTTTGACAAAAATAACTATTTGACTTATTAAGATATTTTAAAGGACTAAAATAAAATAAAATAAAAAACAAAACTGAAACTTAAAATAAAAATAAAGGATCAAAATTATATTTTACTCTATATTATTTTAGTTCATAAAATTGAAAATTATGTCCCATTAGCTTTTAAAATTCAGAAAATATTAAATAAGTTAATAAACTCTTAAATCATACATTTTTTTTTTAATTTTAGACAATAATTAATTTACCCTTTTAAAAACTTATTTTACATTATTAGTTTCTAAGGACTAATATTATCATATCATCTAAAGAATTAAAGTGACTCTTTACTCAAATTTATAATTATTAACAAATCATTGTGTTTTTACTTTTTGGGGGCTAAACTGCCGTCTGATTTATCTCAAGAAAAATAAATTATTAAAATTGGCTAATAGCATAATTTTCCAGGAGAATATTGTTAGTAGTGTATGGATTGTTTCACATTATTTTTGTATTTATTTATTGTCATTTTTCTTTCATACTTACTCTCTAATTTTATTTATGAAAAGTTGTTGCCACCAGAAAGACTAAATTTATGTAAAGTTCAACGTCTTCTTTATAAACCATGAAAAGCCGGCGTTGCATATAGTTTATAAATTCTGTGTTTCTTGCCTCTGGCAGAATAAAATGTAACCTTTGATGATCATAAACTAGTGTTTTTGGTGATCGATCATATTATGCATTTATTATTTGAATCCTTTATTGTTTAATGATTTTTTTTTAATTTTATGATTTTTAATAAAATTTAATCCATAAAAGAATGTATTTGAAAAATGTGTTAAAGGATATATTGTTCACCTTTCTTATAAAAAAAATATAGCTAGAAATAAACTTTAGACATAATTTATTTAAAATTTAAAACTAGAGCTCGCTAAGAAGAAAAATTAAAATGGAATTTGAAAACAATGCACCAAGAAGAAAAATTGACCGAAAAGAAGCAAATCAAATTTTCATATAATTGTTCGAAAATGTGGATTAATGTAAAAATACGATACAGTAAAGTGCCATCGTTTAAAAGAACTTAATCATGGCATTATTTTGTAGATGACTATAGAAGAATGACTACACAATCACACTGTAAGCCATCTTTTGTATATGGCCAAACCATTGTGTCTGAAACCCCACTTGTTCATGTGAGCAAATTATTATGTTTAGAGGTTAAGTCATAGGCCCTTTATATATTGAGATGGTTTTTAATAATTATTATGGTCCTGCATGTATAGGATAGGAAATTAGTGCCTAAGTAGGGATGGCCTATAAAAGTGAAGCTAATAGAAAGTAATTAAGGTCATTGATGAGGGTGAAAGCATAGTGTTTATATCTAGGGATAGAAAATGCTCACATTGAACAGTGGTTCTCATCCTAATACTCAATCAACGGAGACTCTCCGCACCTATTGGCTCAACTTCTTCATATCTAAAATGATTTTGTCTATATGCCATTATAGTGTGCTTGATCATTCATGGTTTGATACTAATTCTATTACACAACTTGAACATATCATTTTTCTACTAGATTTTTTTTTCTTGTCATAAGTATAAGGAAAATAATTTTGATATTTTATTATTATTATTATTATTTATTATTATTATTATTATAAAGATGTGATGAAAATTAAACTTAGATCTTTCTACTTCTATTTAAACTCCTTTTTCTCTAATTACTAGACTAATCCTAATGATCTAAATGATTTTGGTCATTAGTATGACAATTGATAACTAACACCTTTAGGAGACATATTGAGAAATTAAAATTGAAAAGTCTTTAGTAAAAATACGAGTAAATGCTCAATTTGATCCTTAAAATGTGGTACAAGTGATCAATAAGTTCTTGAAATTTTTTTTATCATTTGGGTCCTTCAATTTTAACCCCATTATACAAGTTAGTCTTTTCATTATACCTAATTATTGACTCTGTTAGTCTCATGACTAGTATAGTTGATTGTTACATCGACATGGATTACCCCTCTAGTTAACATGCAACAATTATTAATTAAGTAGATTTAGACATGTGATAAATTGAGGTTTAATTTTTAATTTAATTTAAAAATAACTGAAGTGATGTTTAAATGACTCATTTCTTTCCACTCACTTATGTACGAAATGCGAAACTCATTTATATGAGATAGGGGTTTAAGACATTATTGAAGGAGCCAACAACATTAGAGTAAGAAGTAGAGGACAAATGAAAAAAAAATATATATGGTTTCTGGTTGTTTGTGAAATCCTCAACAAAATCATGTTCCACAATAATAAAGACTACCAGTATCACTGAGTTCTTCTTCACTTACACTAGAGTTTTGTGATTAATTAAACATAGTAGAACCATCCATATTCGATTGATGCATCTTTATTTGAGATCTTTCAGAAAGATCACTCATTTTGTTAAATCTCAAATTCAACAATTCAAAGTTTACATTTTTAAATCAATAGTCAGAACAAATAAAGAAATTAAGAATGACGGAGACGAAAAAAAATTCAACTAAAAATCTTATGCAACCTAACAACAACTTTCCATTTTAACTAGAGTACCTGTAGTCAAAATATTTAAACATGATAAAATGTTCGTTGTTGAATTGATCAAAGTATCAAAATCTTGGATTATGTTCTCTATTAGGTGATTAAGAGAGAAAACAACTAATTAGGAAGGGGAATATGTGTCAATTTGATATTTAACGGCCAATTGTTTAAGAAATTAACAAATTTAATAGTTAAGTATAACGGAAAGACTAATTTGCATATTGGAGTTAAAGTTTAGGACTTAAATACCTAAAAAAAATTATTTGAGAAATCTATTAACCACCTCTACTATCTTTAAAGAATTAAATTGAATGTTTAATCTTAAAAAAATACTATTAATATACTTCAACAAAATTTTCAATAAGAGTTTTCTATTATTAATTTTTCTTTACGATACTAGTTTAATAAGACCTTAAGTATTAATAAAAGAGTTTAAGCGATTTTTTTTTTATTTTTATATTTAAGTTATTAGTTATTTTTTAATTGAATTAAAAAATTATTTTTTAATTAGAAACTATTTTATGTAGTTTAATACTGATAAACACATCATTTATAATACATTTATATTGAATATGCATTATTTGTATTGTTTTTTTAATACATTTCCATTACTCAAGATTTTTTTAATGATTTTATATGTACGAATTATTTAGTGACTTTATTAATGATTAGTTTTATTAAAAAAAATTGATTTATTATTTTTAGTTGATCTCTTTTTTAATTATATTTTTTATTTATAAAATTTAAATTTGAGATCCTATTTAAAAACTTAAGATTAGTTTCACATTAAAAAAAAAGAACATGATGTTGGTATTGTATAATCTTTTAATTGTTTATTGTTTCTAATATATATTATTAAAAGAATGAAAAGAAACCCTACCTCAATTTGGGTATAAACAATTTGAACACTTTACAATTTATCTTAGACTCGAAAAAAAATGAATTATTTAAGTTTAACTCATTTATTAAGTGATTTTAATTAAAAGTTTGAGTTTGATTATTAAAAAAAATTTGAAAAAAATAATACACGCATGCATACGACACACCCTATTAAACTTATCCTGACATTATATATACAGTTAGATATTATGAAATAA